GGGGGGGGTCTCCTGCTGCCCCTGGTGGTTGTCAGTCGGGTCAGGACCTCAGGGAGGCCGGCTGCTGGAAACCTTGTAGCTTGAGTTCCTGTTGTTGGGTAGCTAGGCTTTGGAGGAACTGCAGCTGCTGGGTGCCCATCTCCCACATCAACTGCTGCTCATGCTGTGCGCCCAGGTGCTGTACCAGCTGGTGGTGGTGGTGTTGGCGCTCAGTCCAGTATTTAAGACATTTTTTGAGATCCATTTCCCTGTCTCTCTCTCCCTCTCCCTCTTCCCCGCCCCCCCCTCCCCCCAACAGGTGGTGGCTAAACCCCTTTTCATCAGGGGACGGGTCTTGCCCTCATTCTCCACCATATGTAGCCCAGTAGGGCTTGGGGAGGGGCTATGAACTGTTTGTCTGAACTGTGCGCCACTGACAGCTATCTGGGACTGGGGACTGCCCCAGAGCTGAAAGCCACAGCTAATTCCACAAACAGACTAAGCAGGGTCCACTGATCCCGAGGGGGAGGAGCCCCTTCCCAGGCCCTACTGGGCTACAATGAGGTACAACTTAATTTGTAATGCTAACAGGAAGCAAGACCTTACATTAAACGTTATCTAATGAGAGACATGTATGCTTTTGTTTCACCTTAACTTATAAGCAAGTCCTTATAAATTAAATAATTATGTATCCTACTTATATTCTTATACCAATACACAACCCAGACTATTGATAAGTAGTTCCTTGTCCAACAGAATGCTGTCAAACTAAGTTTTCCTTAAACATTTTAAAATCTCTTTCTTTATCTGGTGACAGTGGGTGCCATTAGGACAGGGTCTCCTTCTTAACAGCCTGATATTATGGGGCATTACACTAGACGGAATATGAGTATGTCACTTCCTGCTTTGCAGCTAATGGCTGCTGCTCTTCCAATCTGGCTGCAGACAAAGGCTGTAGGCTTTAGGCCTTACAATATGGCTACAGAAAAAGATCTTTTTCTCTCTCTCACAGTAGTGAGATGAGGGTCTGAAAGTGTACTCCACTGTCTGACCGAGGCGGCAGTGATGGATCCCATGTCATTATCTGAGTTCCATGTGTTGTCACGGGCACCCATTCTTAGCCTATGTGTAGACGTCTGATTGGGGAAGCTATTACTGTGCTTCGTTTACAATAAACCTGTCTTAGTGCCTTCCATCCTTATATGATTTTGTGGTCTTTGGGGGCTCTCTTGGAGTCTGCTGTGTTGGCTATTTGCGCAAGCCAACACGACACGTGGAGGAGCATATGCACGCAGCTGAATGGTTATAGTCATTGAAGGGGCAGGAGACCAGTCAGGACACAACAATGGTGACATCTGGTTACCACACACACTGCCACTGCAGGAGGTGGCTATCTACAGCAATAGAAAAAAACCCCTTCTGTCACTGTAGGCCCCATCTAGGTGTGGAAGAAATCTTCCACATAGGCTATGGGGTTATGGTGGTATAATTGCAGTAGTGTAGGCTACTCTGGTGCCTGTAGTGTAGACAAGCCCTGGGAGTGTCCACGTGAGGAGCTATTGCAGAATAGCAATTCCAGCCAGATTCCCCATGTAGATAAGTCCATGTTTAGTTGGTTGCAGATTCTTTTTCACGTTTTTAATGCAGCTCTATAAAAGATAAACACATGGACTCTGAAGCGCTAATATAGTCAACTTTCTTCTTAATGTCAGAAATGTAGACCTTTTCACACATGTGAACATCTTCCACTTTACATCACTTTGTAAAGTAATTTAAGTGTAGCTCAAAAGCACTATAAAAGTGCTTATTACTGCTATGCAGGTCTAATGCAATACAGACTCTTCCTTACCTATAAAAGATAAACACATGGACTCTGAAGCGCTAATATAGTCAACTTTCTTCTTAATGTCAGAAATGTAGACCTTTTCACACATGTGAACATCTTCCACTTTACATCACTTTGTAAAGTAATTTAAGTGTAGCTCAAAAGCACTATAAAAGTGCTTATTACTGCTATGCAGGTCTAATGCAATACAGACTCTTCCTTACAGCAGGTGCCCGGTACCGTCCACTGCAGATAAGAAACACTTTC